GGGGGGGGAAGGGCGGGAAACTCCAATGTAAAAAAAGGTGTGGAGATTTGTCAAAATAAATAATTTAACCCTTGAAATAGAGAGTTTGGGCTGGTCTTGGTTTAGTTAATGTTAACCCTAAAAGACACCACTTTAAAAGGCAAAATAATTTATTTAAAACGAAATTTTTGAGGCGGGCTTACAGCCCAACACAAGAGGGTATCACCCCTTTTAATGTATTCTCATACTTCTATGCACGGGTTCTATGCAAAGCTGTATTTTTGCCAAATAAGGCGTGCAAACACTCATTTGGCAGGAAAAAGCATGTGCATAGAAGTATGTGAATAAATTAAATGTGGCCATACTATTCTGTGTTGGCTCGACACATTGCCTCGTCAAATTGTTTAAGTAATTTGGATCCACGAGGCATGGCCAAGAAAGTGTGCAAGAAATTTATAAGTTATTGTAAAAATATTGTTTGTATAAAAATACAAAATCAATATGAAAATAATTATGATAGGAAGAAATAAAACAAAGGAGACGAAAAGAAATAACTTTATTGTAAAGTTGAAAATACCTTTGACAGAATTCAGCCGTCTTAACCGCTTGTCTGTCTCCCGGAAGGAATACTTTTGTTTACGGCTATTTTCAACCTGCTCTGACTTGAAGGCACCTTCCTTTCTCCTGCAAATTTGAACACAAATGAGATTGAGAGATTAACTTCACCACATTGGTCCTAGAGTGAGTTTTCATTTATCTTTTTTTTTCAAAGTTGAAAAAGTGGTATCTTTTGGGGCTAAAATAAAACCAGGGCCACGCCCAAAATCTCTCTTCTAGGGGTTAAATTTTATTTTTGTTGACAATTCACCTTTTCGGCGCTAGCTTGGATTGTGTTACGGTCAACAAAAAGTTTGGACATCGTTCTCGGATTTCCATACAAATTCACTGACTTTAAAGAGAAAATTTAGGTAGATTTCTTTAGTTAGCTATCTCAAAAGCTGTTGTAAGAAAAAATTCAATCAAGCTAGAAAAATGATTATTTACTTAGTTCATTTAGAGTCAGTACATTTGTACGGAAATCCGTGAGCAATGTCTGAACTTTTTGGTGACTGTAAAACAATCTAAAACAATTTATACCCCGTGAGGGCTTGCGCCGAAAAGGTGAATTATCCCTGGCCATTTTACATGGGAGTATCCTCTTCTCCCTGATTACATTAGGATATTATATTTGTTCTACATTTTATTCACTATAGTTTTGCCCCTGATTGCCCAAATCCATGATAATGATTTAAAATTTAACTTACAAGGCCTTGAATGGCCTTGCTCCTTCATATTTGTCTGATCTTTTGACCTATCGCTCCTCCAGTTATTCTCTACGCTCTGTCTCTAATAAACTCCTCGTTGAGCCTAAAGCTAGGCTTAATACTTATGGTTTCAGATCTTTCTCCTTTTCTGCTCCAAGACTGTGGAATAGGCTTCCCTTAGAGATTCGTTTAAGTTCAACAGTTGCTAGTTTTAAAAATAGACTTAAGACACATTTATTTTCTCTTTTTCTTAATAATAAGGAGTATATTTAAGACTACGTGACTTAGATTTGTTTTATATATTGCAATTATTAATTAGTTTTATCTTTTAAATATTTACATTTTATTCATAATCAATAGGTAAGCATTTTGTAACTATTGTAAATATTCTATTGTAATTTTTTGTGAAGCGCCTTGGACAATTTTGGAGATGAGCGCTATATAAATAAATTATATTATTATTATTATTATGATAAATGTATTATCTGTAGGTTTTTTCATCAGATAATACATTTATCATGTCAAGTTCATTCATGGTCATGACAGATTTTAAATTTTTCTTATTAATATTGGCAAATTGGCAGATAACACTGCCCTAGTCCTGATAATTTACAATATCATTTTTAACATCATATAATAAACTGATGACTCTTAAAACTCCAGCATACTGTATGTGGGCTTAGCCTTACTTCTGACATCAGTAAACAAAAGCAGAAATTAAAATGACAAAACAAGCATTCCTGGATTCAAGGCTAAGCCTGCATACACTCATCAATAACTATTAATTGATAATTAGCCTGCGTCACATCCGGAATTTTCTTCCTAAATACCTGGTATTTACAAAGAAAATTCCGGATGTGATGCAGGCTAATTAATAATCCACTGAAAAAAACAAACAAAGTGGTGATAACAAGCGTGGACTGCGTTGGTGTTTCTGAATAAAACAGCAGGAACTTGTGGATAAATTGAATCACCGTAAAAGCTTTGTGAAACTGATGTTTCAGACATAAGTCCTTCGTTGGAGTAAGTCAGTCACTTACTCCAACGAAGGACTAACGCCTGAAACGTCAGTTTCACAAAGTTTTTTTGCAGTGATTCAATTTATCCACAAATTCCTGCTGAAAAAAAAAACTATGACTAACCTTTCACAAGTCAGACATTCACATTTGCAATTGTTATCCCCAAAAAAGTTTTCTCCATAAAAACAAGTTATTTCATCTCCTGGTTCGAGATCCCTTAAGACTTTAACACATGCAGTATCACGCCCTGTCGGCACAAACTGAAACAATGAAAAAACATTTGTTCAATAAAACAGGCATCAAATTTTGCATCCCTTGAAAATATTCTAAAATATTCATAAACCTACCACATTTGCTATTCTGGAAATTCAAAGGAGAGGGAGGGGAATTTGGATCAAGAATTCCGTAGGAGAGGGAGAGCATCTTGGTCTGAAATTTCCAAAGGGGAGGGTGGTAAGAAAATAGATGCATCCCTTGAATATATTCTTAATGGGCAGTTTAAGAACATATTCATACAGTACCCCTACCCCTAGCAGCATTTCAGAGATCTGAAAAAGAGGGGGGGGGGAGGGGTTGGATCAATAATTCTGTAGGAGAGGGAGAGCATTTTGGCCTGGAATTTCCAAAGGGGAGGGTGGTAAGAAAATAAATGCAGACCGTGGTAGGGGCACAAATATTTTTGAGGATATATTTTCATCAGTGCTAAGGTGCTGGCTCAGAACATGAAATATTTCTTCAATAAAGAAGTGTCTAAATTTCAATAAACAGTAATGAAAAAATCCTTTACGCTTTATTACCTTACAGTTTGGCCGGCAATCTGAAACACAGAACAACAAAACATCAGTAATCTAGCTACACCACTGCACTATGAACTAGACTGCAACAGACCATTTTCTCAAGGTTGGGCGTGCATCCAAATTTAAGGAACTTGACGGTCCATGATACCAGAACAGTAGCTTTACATTAAGAATTATCATACATTTCTATGGATTTTTTTTTTCAATAAAAATCCATAAAATCAATCATTCTTCTCTTTAAATATACGCCAAGTCATTTCGATTGATCTCCCTGGTATTACCACTTTACCTCTTTTCCCTCCCCACTCAAACACACAGGGGGAAAAACCGGGTTCCCAAATTGGGAATTGTTGGGAATTTCCTTGAATTCCCAATTCCAACACCAACGTTGGGATTTATTGTTGGGAATTTCCCTCTAATACCCAATAGAAAAACGAAATTCCCAACAAACCAACATTGGAAATCAGTGCCACGGTCCCAATTTCGTTCTCTCTGGGAATTGGATGGGAATTCGTTGGGAATTCAAGGAAATTCCCAACAAATTCCCAATTTGGGAATCTGTTTTTTTTTCCTGTGACAAGAATTTCTAATAACTTTTCAATGTGTACACATGGTCTGGCAATATGGCCTTGGCCTTGCAACATAGTTAACTCACGTGACAGTTTGGACCATATTTTACATGAATTAACTGAAATTCAAAATGTAATCAATCAATAATTTGGCAGTGCTAACAGTTGAGTGATTTCAGTAGTACATACCATGGTTGATATATGCCGCAGGACCCAACCAAAGTTGAGACATGTTCTTCCTGATAGAAAACATAATACTGAAGTCATTCTCTCCTGGTCTCAAGATACTCTTCTCTTCTTCCTCTGTCATCTCGGCAATACATCCACACAGATATGGTAGCTTGTCTCCTTTATACCTAATCAATGAATAATGAAAACAATACACATGAAAATTGTAATATATTCATGATAGTTATGATTCATCAGCTTTTTAATTATAAATCAAGCCAAGCTTTCGAGCATCTTGCTCTTCATCAGGGCAAATGGTTGTGACAATTTTACAAGAAAACACGCAACATAACAATGTGCGCGTGCTTAAGTTAAATGTATCAGTTGCTAGCAGAGCACGCCATGAAGACTGGCCACAGCATTAACTGGCTTGGTAGCTCTGTAGTTTATAAAGAAGAACGATGGCACCAGAGGAAATGGCTGGAGGCATGGAAGATTGTTAATGAATCACATGCTCTCTTTAATAGAGACAGTGGAAGAACATTGCCTGATAGCTATCGTAGCTTGATAGGCAATTAAGATCATATAGCGTATCTTAATAGACAAAAAAAAAAAAAAAAAAAGCGCGCAATTAATTCTCCCTTTGAACACGCGCGCTCCTAGCAACTGATACATTTAACTTTAGCACGCGCACATTGTTATGTTGCGTGTTTTCTTGTAAAATTGTCACAACCATTTGCCCTGATGAAGAGCAAGATGCTCGAAAGCTTGGCTTGATTTATAATTAAAAAGCTGATGAATCATAACTATCTATCATGAATCTTAACTCGGCTTACAAACACTTATTGGATTTGTAATATATTGTTGCTGTATACTCAATAGACACCTTGCATGTTGTTAAAAGATTTTTGATTTTAGGACTTTGAACTTAAGGCTTCCTTTGTCCAAGATGTTAGAAAATATTTTGGGAGAGAGAGTGAGAGTTTGCTTGTGAGTCGAGCGCAACGTTGGAATTGCCCTATTTCACTATGACGTCACATCAAAACAATCTTCTATTGTTTGAATGCAAAGGATCATGGTTGCGGAGGGGGTCAAATCAATACAAATTCACTGAAACCTGTTCTAAAACCTGTATCAATCCATGAAGAGAAGTAGAATAGCCAGCAAACTCTCAGAATATTTTTTTTTTTACATATTAACACATATTACATCTGAAAACCAGGCCATTTTAGATTAAACTGTTTCGCTTAAGGAGCAAATTTTGTTGAATTTTCTATTTGATTTGGTGATTCTATTCCCCACATAAACAAGCAGTGACGTCATAGTGAATTAGGGCAATTCTTTGGAGTTTGAGTCTTAAAACCTGATTAGAGTCTATAAAACCAAATTGAGGAGTTTTTATTTCTTCAACACAATTTGGATGACAAAATTAAAGAATTTTAAACTCATGAGAACTGGAAACCTTTTTTTTAAGTCCTCCAAATAATGCTGCATTCTGAAGTGCTACAAGGGGTCTCTATCATGTCATGGCACTTAAGTTAATATGCATGAGCAAAAAGAACACGAAGAACATTATTACTAGAGAAGGGGGATAGAGTTAATGCTCCTTCCAAACCAGTTGCCTCTTTCAGCACACACCACTGAAGACAGTTAAAGTTATATAGTTATATTATAAGTTATAAAGTTATATAGTTATATATATATTATTGTAATGCGCGCATGATCATTGTATGGAATGCGCGCACAGTAAGTGATTAAATCATTATTATTATCAAGACAGTGATCAATGCAATGCCATCTAAATCATTTTTATATTGTTAGGATAGTATGTGCGCTGATTGGTCAAAAACTGTGCTTTATTAGTGAATGGAGCACAGTGCTGATGTCATCCACAAGTGCAAAGAGCTGCTAGATCCTGCAAAAGTTTTTCTTTTTGAGTAAATAAATTCAATACTGAAATAAAATTAGTGATTATATAACATAACGAATAAAACAGCTTTTTCCATGCTCCATTCAGTAATAAAGCACTTGGGAAGTGCCGTAAGCACTCACAAATCTTTCATGCTTAGGCTAATTCCTGGATACTTCATTACTGAACAGAGCACAGAAAAAGCTGTTTTATTTGTTAAACATAATGATTAAATATTATCTATTTACCAGTTGTCTGTGGCAATTACTTTCGCACCATTTTGTTCTTTGGAGTATCTGTTACAAGGTACAATCTGAAAGCCAGCTTCAGCATGGAATATCCCAATGTACCGTGACATCTGAAACCCAAGCAATAAATACAAATACTTAGAATATTATGGCGGAGTCGTATGTTTAAAAAGTTAGTAAGGGCGTCGTCAGGGCCATCAGGAAAGGGAATGAGCATATTAATAATCTTATAATTATAATAATAATTTCACTGCTCATATTGTGCAACATTGAACACTTATTAACTTTAACCGAGGGAAACATTGTGTTTTCTGGCCCAAGACAGCAATGTTTCATGAAGGTAAACATTGACATCGAGGGACAAAAAACACACTGCTTTTCTGAGGTTCAAGTCAATAAGCATTTTGTTATATAGCAAGTGTCAAAGAAAAAAATACAGTTATTTGATTTTTTGTTTATTTGATTTTGAAAAACTTAGAAAAACATACATTTCTGAGAAAATCACTTCTGGTGTTGCTCTTACCGGTCAACAACATATTGTTACCCGCTGAAAGCTGCTGACAGGGAAACATCGAAACTTGTTAACGTTCATGTGATATTCTCTCACTCAATCAGAGTATGAGGAAAATGGACTTTGATAGTTGGTGTATAACAATAACATATGAGTATGATCACATACACAGGTTCAACATATTAGAAGAGTTTGATTATATGTGTGTGTGTATTGGAATGCTATGACGTTTTTATTCATCTATCCCAGCATTTTGTTAAAAAACAACTGAACTACCATTAAAATAAACTTTAAGAGTGCAAAGTAAACTTAGTAATTCTTCAGAGATTAAGTGTTAAGAAGTTAAGAATCATACCAAATTTGTCCAGGTTCTACACAGGCAAAAAAAAAAAAAAAAATAGGTAAGCTTATCTAAGGAAAATGTTTTTTATTTTTTATATAAATTAATGCATTATAAACATGCAACATTCAAATATAACATATTTTAAGGATCTTCATGCTAATTTTCAAAATGTAAACGCAATTTATCGTCAAACAGGAAGTTAAATTTCAGTTCAAACCGGAAGTGGTTTTACTTCCTCTTTGGGGCACTGGACGTTACCGCCTACGATATGCAAACTGATAGACGAAAAAAATATATTTACTTCCTTGTCTTCGGGCCTACAGTTCCTCTGAGCAAAGACAAATCTAAACAATAGATTTTACTGCTGAAAAATTTATAATCAGTTAAAAAAAACACAGCTTCCAAGAATTTTGTAAAAATTCAAACCGATAAGTTTATGGAAACTGGTCTTCAAAAGTGAAAGATTCCTTTACCGGACAACAGAATATAATGAAACAAATAGTTAAGAAAGAAGATAAAGCAATGGAAAGACACTTTAAGTTTGGATTTTAAAAAAGCAATCGTTCTAATTCTTATTAAAATTTTAGATCCAAGAGCGTCTTGTCAAGACAGGTACTACTCACATGTTGTTTAAAAGCAGTGACTTGGCTCCGAGATTTATTCAGGAAATAAAACATTTTCCATTCGCCAGTGTTGTCGATAATATCATTATAAACCCGTTCTGAGTTCCCATCTCCTTTTAACCTGAGTAGAGCTCGTTTAACGATGGTTGGATCGATCTTTACGGGTCTAAACCGCGCAGCCATTTTGTGAGTCGTAAATCCAAGAACATTATCGACAATCAAACTACTCGCGATGTCATCGCTCTCTGCAAGCTGCTTTGCTCGAGAAATCCCTGGTTTGACACACTCCGAACCACTGACGACCATTTTGGAAGGGTTTTGGGTCTGAAGGTCTGAAATAATAGTTATTTTTTGGCTGTCAAAGTGATTGAGTCAAGACAAGATGAGATTGAATGCAATAAAAACGTCTGCCTTCAAAACTCCAACGTCTTTCGAAATTCCAGTCACGTGACCATAGGATGACGTAATGTCGGGAGCAACGAGTGACCCAGACCTCTCTCTCTTTTGCAAACACAGGGATCCCATATTTTTGCACAAATTTTATTCGTTTTTATTCGTTGTTATTTCATTTTATAGACCAAATTCAAAACTCGCACCGATATGAGGCTTAAGTTGTGAACAAATGGATCTGGTGTGATTCAAAGCAATAGGGCGTGATTCAAAAGTCACGAATCATGCCAGATCCCTTTGTTCACAACTTAAACCTCACATCGGTGCGAGTTTTGAATTTGGCCTATAAGTTTTCCTTTTTTTCGTTTGACTTAGGAATGTTGAAGTCTCTAAAAACAATATGGCAAGCGACATTTGTTATAATGTGATATTGGCAAAACATCCAAACCAAATCATCATATATCTACATCTACATCTACATTTTATTGTCAGCAGGAACTATACATTAAGTTATCACGCTAACTATGGAAAAATTAAATAAATAGATAAATAATAAAAAATAAAATATAAAATATAGAGTATATAGAATAGCCTAGATCATAGACGAGACATGCCCCCCGCCACCCCGAGTCCCACGCCCGCGCAGACAGACTTTATGGTCTGTCTTAGTGCGCATGCCCGAAACCCGGAGCAACAGAGAAACATGTCCCACCCCCCAATCCAGGCCACTCCATATAGATATAAAATATAAATATGAAATTTATTAAAATAAATAAATAAATAAATAAATAAATTTAAAAAATAATCTAATTTCTAATGAATTCTGATAGTTTCACTTTAAAAGTCTGGAGTGAATTAGCCTCCACAATATCAGCAGGTAAACTG